ATTAAAAAATTAATATTTACACAAAGATATTTTCTAGGAAATTAACTTCTTCGTTTGTATGTCTGTCTGTCTGTCTGTCCTTCCTTAATCTCCAAAACTGAGTTAAATAGGTAATTTGCAGGAAAGGTATGATGTACAGGGGCAAGACATTGTTAATGTGAGGTGGAGAGCTTGATATTTTGACTTAGTAAGTGTCTTAAAGTAGTGCAGTGTTTTGTTTTCTGTTTTAAATGTTAAATACTTGTGTTAGTACAGAAAGAATTCCCTTGTAACGATATGCAGTATATGAGCATTAATGGGCATGTATCTAGAGATTGTGCGTGTGGGCAAATGATAGGAGTAATCAACAGTTATATGGTTGGAACAGATTGGTGCCATATGTAGCCCGATTACATGTGGTTGGTCTGTTGGTTATGTCGTATTAATGTCTTACTGGCTGGTACCAATCGTAGCCTTCAGTTCTTTCGTTTTGTGAATGAAGTCTGTGAGTTTATTCCGTAAGTCTGCGGGGTTGAGGAGCCAGTTTAGCCCAGCCCGAAGACAATCTTGGAAAATTTCGTTGCGTTGATCTTCAAATTCTTTGCTGGTGAACATGGAGTACATGGCGTCATTTTCACTTTTCCCTGTCACAGTCACACTTGTCTTCGATTTCTTTGCCGAAACGGTGTAAATAGGAAGCAAAGTTCCCGTGCCCAGTGAAGGCACTGGATAATCTCGGTGTTCGGACTGAAGTATTTTATATTTTTAAGATAACTAATTGAAGGAATGAAACTATGGCAGAACCTCCCAGTATCTGCTTCATCCCACTCCTTTTGCCACTGTTCAATAACTGTTTGATTAATTTGTTGTTTTAATGTGGTTGCAGAGAGCCTTGAATAGGTATGATTCGAAGGCAATGTACGTACTGTACATGCCGACTTGGCAAGTTTGTCGGCTAACTCATTGCCCCCATGACCCTTATGTTTGTGCAGTCTTTATCACTTCTGCAGCTAGGAGTGAAGAGTTCCTTTGATGATTTAGAATGTTAAGAGCAACCTTACTGTCCGTAAGTATACTAATTTTTCCTTTGTAATAGTTACCTGGCTTACGCAGGATTGCAGAAGAGAGACTCTTTCTTTGACCTCCTTCCTCTCCTCAGTTCTAAGGTTTGATTTGTGGGTGGCGGGAAGGAAGTCTAGAATCCTCCGCAGTTGTTGTCCGGCTTCGTAAAGACTGTATCCTCTGATGAGCAGGATGAGATAACTTGGGTGCCTGTGAGTGTTGAACGTTCAAGAGACTCCATCGTGAGTAAAACATCGAATTTAGCGAAAATATAAGAAAATAACACCCGTAACGAAAAATAAAAAACTCACACACACACACACAACTGATAGTCCGATGATCTTGCCATTCTATAAGATCCGGATTGACACAACATTTATACGGAGGGGTTGATCTAGACCCTATTGCAAACCACCTAGTTTTTTCCACTGTGTGCTTACCCGAATCAATAAATGGGTACACAGAAAAAAGGCTTCTTAATTTTGTGTATAAACCACAATTTATTAGAGATAAGGAATTGCATGTTTACTAGTTGTGACACTAGATTAATTACAATCCGCATGCGACGATATGGCCCTTTAATCTAACTTAAACAGCACAATTCACTACAGAATGCCATCTCTTTTCTGCATCACGGTAACGCAATACGTTGGAATTTTATCATCATCCTTCTCATTTAGTTACTTTTATACACTATAAACGGGTTTTTAACTAAAAGTTATCTTAAAATACATCCGCTTTAGAAAATCTCTGGAACAATTTAATGTAGAAACCACCTCGATACAACATTCTGCGTTATATCGAGGTGGTTTCCTGTATACAAGTATATGAGACATGTTTACTCATATACAACACGTTTATATACAAATTACTAGCGATTTTTAAAGGTAATAATTTAAAATTTAGACAAACCTGTGAAGAACGGACACTGACGAGTCCGTCGTTTGAAGGTTGCTTTGTGCGCTTTTTCTGAAATAACGTTTGGAGGTATTTATTATTGCCGGTTCCACCGCATTCATTAACTGTATACATCCCGTTAATGTGCAATGGGTTTAAAATGGCTCCATATAAATAATTTAATTATAATTAATCAAAGTTATCGCTTGATTATAATTATATAAATTGATATTTAGTATCTACGAATTGTAATTCGCACTTAGTAATATTCCATATAGCGTAATTCCGCTTTGTTAAATGCGAGTGGGATGAAGGTGTGGGCACGTGCCAGATGGTCAACTAATTAATTAATTAATTAATTATTAATTAGTTAGTATCACGTGAAAATGGAATCGTTTTCTTTTAATATTATTTAATTAATTGATTTAATGTAAATAATTGATTGGATTGTGAATGATCATTAATCATTTTAATCGATGTTCTCGTTTAATTGTTCTCGAAAAAAAAAAAAATCTATAAAGTACGTGTGTGTGTCTGACTGCAGGAAAATATACAGCGATAATCAATTTGAAATGATACGTTTTCATCTGGATTTATTTTATTTATTGAAATATTCTTTATTTACTTATGAAATGTATTGTCACAGCTTCACGTTACTTTCTTCAAAGTTAGTTTTTTGATCGTCACTCATTCTCTCTTCCCAATTTTTTTAACTTTGTTCTTTTTCAGTCCAATTCCTGACCATTTCCAACTCTCTCATTCTTTGAGGTCCAATTCTTAATCCGTTTTCATTATTTTGAGGTNCCCTTTCTCACTCTTTTCTGAGGTCTAACTCTTCACTCTTTCTCTTTCTTTTGGATCCAATACTTAATCCATTTTCATTATTTTGAAGTTCATCTTCTGACCCTTTCTCACCCTTTTCTGAGGTCTAACTCCTCACTCTTTCTCTTTCTTTTGGGTCCAATACTTAATCCATTTTCATTATTTTGAGGTCTATCTTTTGACCCTTCATTCTTATTTGAGAGCCAAATTTTTTTTTACCTTTTCACTAATTTAGCCTAATTTTTTAAACACTTTTTCATTCACTTACTTCTTTTAGGATCGTTTCTCTTTCTTCCTCCTTCCTCCTTTTTTCCCCCCGTTTTAGGAATATATTTAAAATGTTTCGTCATAAAAATTAATCAAATTGGCACGAAACGTGATTAATCAGTAATATTTTGTTGCAGTAAAACCCCGCTTTAACGACTTAATTACTTCCTGCAACATTGTCGTTAAGCAAGCACCATCACCCCCAAAAAGTCGGTGTCATAAATTGAGATTACGTTCGTGTAAATATAATTATAATTATACAACACCACGGATATGTGACCAATAAAAAAAAAATAATAAGGCATTTAATAGGGTCATAAATGGTAAATTTGTACAAGTGGTTAAGTGGATCTTTCTGTACTTTTCCCTGTTGTACATTAAAATGTTCGCAATAACCAAAACAAGTCATAAATTAGTTCGGGGGGTAATTTTTAATGTTATCGATGAACTTTTAAACGATGCCGTAGATTTTTCTATATACATTCGAACCTCGATTTAGCGCCAATTGCAATTTAGAGCAAATTTAACTTCGGTTTAACGCTACGACGAGCTAATTTATTGCTACATTTGTTCGCTTCTGAGATGGATTGTGGCGTTAAATCGAAGTAAATACTGATGCGTTATATCGAGGTGACTGTTTAAACGTTTCAGAATGACGTAATTTGTTGGGAGTAATGCAAAATACTATATTTAGTAGGCCTACTTCACAAATTGTGAAGGTTTCACCGTTTAAAGCATTCGTTGGCGTTATATTAGGGTTTAGATATATATATGAGATCGCTATATCGAGGTTTAGCGGAAAAAACAGAGAAAGTTTTCGTTAAAATGAGAATTTCTTGAGAATTTTTTAAAGAGTTTTTATCTAGATTTACTTAATTTAGTTAGTTGAATCTTTCTGCTTAATTAAAATTAAATTGTATTTTATTATAATAAAGTTAAATGAAAACAATTAATTAGTGGAGTTAATTCTTTATATATCTGTTTAATTTTTTTTATTAATTTAATAATATTTAATTAACTTTTATGAGTACCATTTAGATACTAAAGATTTTCTTTTTAGCCTAAATTTAATAATAATTCTTTTCTGGCTTTTTATATAGTAAAACCTGTCTAAACCGGAATATTTTCTTCCATTTTGGCAGGTTTCCGTTTTATTAAGGTTACTATTTTGCACAGGTTTTAGTGTTATTTAAATGTATAAAGGTCATAAAGGGAAGAGAACAGATTACAATTAAAAAGTTTAATTGCATTTAAGCCTGTATATTAATTACATTCATATACAATCGTGTGACAATACGCGCTTCAGAATAATTACATTTAAACTTGTTTTTAAAAGACCACTTTCTTTAGGAACTATTGGTGGTTGTAAATTAGAGGTTTTGCTGCTCGGAACCTGTCTAAAAGACCACTAATTTAAATAAAATTATTGTCTGACGTGTACTTTTCCGACACGCAGCGGGAATTTTCCGTTTCGACAGGTTCTAATTTCTATGTTTTATAGGAAAAAATACTACAATTCATATCTAAAACTCATTCCCCCCGATATAACCCGTGTAAACCGGACTCGGGGTCCGGTTTACACGGGTTACACTCTATACAGTTCACAGAGAGAGGAAATTTTTGAATGAATTTTAATGACTGTTACATCAAAAAATTCCGCTTTACTCAGGTTATGTTAAGCAATTGTTGGGCAGAAAATCTTCTGTTTTCGCGTTAGAAGGGTTTTCCCATAAAATAATTGTACTATTACACTGTAGTAGGCGATACATGTAGTTTACTATTGATCTGTTTCACGCTTTGTTTTCCGTTAAGCCTTGTCCGTTTTACGCAGGTTCCGCCTTAGACGGGTTCCGCTTTAGACAGGTTTTCTATATCTTATCATTAATTTAGCATTTTATAATTGTTTTAATATTTATAAAATATGAATCAATTTTATATATTTTTATACTGTGTTTTTATTTTTATTTTTTCAGACTTTTTATACTTTAATATTGACTGCTAGTCTATTCAATATGTATATTAAACATTTACCTGGTAAGTATTATATTTAATATTTTAAAATTAATACAAAATATTAAATTATTTAAAAAATAATTCTAAAGTAGATATTGGAAACTGTTTAATATATTGAAGCCATTTGAAACTTCTTAACTTTATTTTCTCCCGAAAAAAAAAGCATATTTTTTGTATTGTTTATCAAAATTTAATAGGAAGAAGCTAGGAAACTTGATAAATTTTATTTATTAATGGCAAATATAACGTATATAATACATAATTTATGGTGTACATTACAAGTTTTTTATAACTTCTAGCTGATTTTAAGTTCGTTTTTAAGTAGAAATGATGCAACACATCTTACGAACACAACACAACTATGGACTAATCTACATCTAAAGATCATACAACACATCTAATTGTGTTTTAGATTGTAATTACGAGGGATTCTGTGCGAATAAAGAGGAATATATTCGATATAGCGCCATTGTTTATTCAACACTCAAAGTGTGTCGAAGGGTTAAAATTGTATACATAAACAAGAAGAAGGGAGTGAATTTGGTTGAATGTTGACGAATTACTAATAATTAACTTCAATACGGGGTGCTTCGATATAACGTTAACGAAGTTTGTTAAGCAGATTTTTAGTGGCAAGTGTTTTCCCTCGTGCAATAAGTTGTGGGGTTGTCAAGTAGTACGGTCCTAATGTTAATATGTTTAGAAGCACCTTTATGTGTATATATATAGGCTATAAACATGATGATGATGATCTTCATCATCATGCAAACGTTTTAATCTTTAAATTTATTTTCAGTTAGGTATTATAACAATACACAGTCAAACTTCGATTCAGCTCCACTCCCGAAATAAGCCTTAAATCGAGTCTAGCGTTAAACCGAAGTACCTCATATAACGAAATTTATGAGATATTTACGTATTTTGGTGATAGTAGTATCATTTACAACACAAATAACCAAGTATTTACCAGTGGCGCTATATCGAGACTTGGCTGTATATTGTTTATTATTATTATTATTATTATTATTTATAAAATATACTTTTTATTTTGACTTTTTTTTTTATTAGATTCTTCGCAAAAGTCATTCAAAAACTTAAGTAATTATTTCTTTTGTTTTTAAATATCGTTAAGACAATACACTACTGTTAGTATTGTTCTGAATAAAATAATATTTTTACAGTTCTTCTAGGAGTATTTAATCTATTTTCGACAATATGTGCTGGATTATGTGTTATCTCATCCGTCCTTTTATTAGTTGGCCTGTGTGTGGTAAGTGCTTCTGCTCTGTTCATCTATATTATTAAATTTCTTTGCTTCCAGCGCCAAATGTGCGACTAGTGGCGAGTGTTGGAACCATCACCAGCACTACTATTAAATTATTTAAAAATTGTTTGTTTGTTTATAAACTTTAAGCAAATACAATTAACAATTAACTTCCTTAAAGTACTACCCCTATTCAATAAATATTTAGTGGCCCAAATTCAACAAAAACTCACCGCTAGGGCACAATTGGAGCTGCGAGCGATAAACCTTTCACGAGACATTTATGCTGTAGTGATGTAGATAATGCTGCTCGTGCTCCTCGTTATGTTTTGTACGCTGTTACGTAAGTTTGACGTCATTCTTACAGTTTTCTTAAGAGATGTGTGTGAAAATAACGTCAAATTGACGTCAAAGTAAACATTATATAAACAAATACTCCATTTATTGAAGTATAAATGTCGTATTGAATAATATTTTACCTCATTCTACGCCATTTTTAATTTATTCTTCCTCCTATTCGCATCCTAAAATCTTCCGGGATGCGTTTTTATATCATGATTTACAGAACGGACATTCTGACAATCGTGACGTACGCATTATCTCCGAAAATGATGTCAGCGATTAATTTACAGTGGAACGAACTTCTTTTAAATATATAAAACTACACACAAACTTGGTATTGTTGTTTATACATTATTCACATAGAAAATAACAGTAGAATTGACCTTTTTATAGAGGATACTGCTCCACCTCTCTTATGTAAAAACAGTAAAATAGTATTGTAAGAAAAGCATGTATACGTTGACAATTTCGGGACAGATTCTATTGTTTATAATGTCGCCCTTATAATAATTACACTGGATTTTAATATTCGAAAATCACAAATACTATTGTATTTGTTTCTACTTTTTGGCATAGTGTATGTAACTGGATTATTAAGGGGGGGAAGTACAAAAAGGTATACACTTCTTGTTATATATATAAAAGAGAGCACGTAATGTCTAACTGTACACTGGATTATAGATCGAATTTCTAGTAAATAGGGATTGAGAAGCGGAAACTATTATATTGTACTAAGAAAAGACATTAAAGTATTTACAGAAAACAATGCCAAAATAAATAACTCCAAATATAATGGGGATCGTGTGATACACACGACACCCAAATAGGGACCATTTTTATATAGGAAGTCCTCTTTTAGGCCATCCAAGTGTTGGATTATACAATCAATCTACCCTAAAGATATTCCCACTTATTGGGAATCTGGGTGCCACAAAATATGGTGTAGTGCAGGGCAGATAATTCTACATAAGTAAAGAAGTAGAGGGTGACACTATTGGAAAAATAAGAATAGATCATGCTAAATTTATATATTATAAACTTTTTTTCCTACGTAAATCTAAAGCTTTGTGAAATGAATTTATCTTAACAACCATTTTGTTGTATCTAGGATAACCGTCTGATGCTTCTACCCTGGATTTTCTCCGTTTCCATAACGACGTTGTTGGATGTGATTTTGTCCTTTTACTTTTTTACTGAAACAGTAAGTACACCAATGTCAGAATTTGTAATTCGCTGTTTATCATGTAAAATGTAAGTTCTAAGTTCGTTCGATACAGCAACAAAATTCCATTAGATTTAAATTTAAATATATATATATACATCATCTTCTGTTTACAAGAATTTATTTACAAAATATTTTTGCGGGTAGAGACATCATTTATAAACCATAAATTGTGAATGAATGCCATAAGAAATCAGGATTCGAACCCGCAACCGTGCTTTTTTGGCAATTGTTATATTTGTCATTGCTATTAAAATTAAATGAATATATTACAGTCGACCCCCTATAACACTTGATTTTTTTGTTTTATATGAATTCCATGTTGTACGAGTCACTTAGATTTTACAAATACGTGTTCCGGGCTGTGAACGGCTCACGTATTTGTAAAATATAAGTGACTCGTACAACATGGAATTCATATAAAACGGAAAAATCAACAGTGTTATAGGGGATTGACTGTAGTTTCTTTATTGGAAATAAAGATGGGCCTATATACAGTAAGTGATGGTGCACGGTAGAATTTAAAACTTGCATGTGAACTGCCTTGATTTCGAAATATATGCCTTAATTATAAGAAAATGAAGGTTAGAAACCTGAAAATTCTCGAGGAAAACGAAGAAAAATTGCAAAAAAAAATATAGAAAACAGAGCAATGATACGTAAATGAAGATAGTTTGGTTAGGTAAGTTGTATAGAAATTGGAGATAAAGTAAGCAAGATAAATGCCAGACGTGGATACTACTTTAACCTTAAAATAATGTGAAAACGTAACGAAAAAGTTAAATAGACATCCGCCATTTTAAACCCAAATTATACACAGAGGTATTGTTGACGTACACCTAAAGATCTACGCACTCTCGTTTGTTAAAAACGAAAGGAAATATTGTTTAAAAATATACTTTATATAAAATATATTTTTAGTAAATATATTAAAATATTTTATATTTTAA